GCCGCGGCTGGCGGCGGAATGTGTGCCTCCCCAGGTCTCGTGCTGAGCCGTGGCGGACAATATCTGTGCTCTGCGCCGCGTAATTGGTTACGCAGTGTTCTCCTGGCTGTTACATTACTCTTAGCAACGTTTGCAAATCCCTGTCCATCACGGGGTTTCAACAGTGCGTGGAACAAGTGCATATTCATGTGTCGTGCGGCGGATGAAGCAGTAGTGTTCAGCGAAATTGTGTTAGGCACCATGACGAAGCTGAATGACGACGAACGACTTGCAGGTCAGTGACGGTTGAGCAGTGCTCCTGCTTGTGACAACGGATGACGCTGTTGAGCCCAGCAAGACGCCGTGAGGACTATGTGCACATACGTAGTTTCGTGTTGTGTGTGTACAGTAACAACTTGCATGTGCGTATTAAAACACCTTCCCTGTTCCGCTTGGTACACTCTCCACCAGCATTGCATGTAATCTCAACGTAACAGCAACCGCGTTCAAGTGTCACTAGCACCATGCTCAAAGTCGCCACGGTCGCAGAATGCTGGCGCCGGTAAGTTTCACGCGGAACACGGACACAGTGGAAGGACGCTGCGTCGGTCGCGTGGCAGAATTCAACCGTAGAAGGCGCACGACCGATCGTGTTGTTTGTACAGTTGCTGAATTTATGACGTGAAAGCACTCGCCGTTGTCAGTGCATCTAGCGCGCGTTCTCTCGTAGTTGCTTCGTTGTCGGCAAGGTGTTACTCCCTGTTATTACTCGGACGAAGCGATTTCGTTGAAGGTGTCCGGCTGGCTGAGAGTGATGAGCCCAGTTCCATTAGTTTCGGATCGGCACGACACACGCGCTGCGCAGCCCACGTGCTTTCCGAGCCGGAGAGGGAGTCGCGCCTTCTGCTTCGCATTCATATGTAAACAAGAGAGGAGAATTTGCCTAGTCAATATGGGCGACTTCTGGCTTCATCACGGCTTCACAACGAGTGACGTCAGGGCCTCTACTTACCATTCCTTCCTCCGTGACTTACAGTCTCAGACCTACAGTGTACTATTCTAGTACACTGTCCTCAGACCCAATTTTGACTGTCAGTTGGCTTGGCATCGCTTGGCTACTTGACTATCCACAACGGTGCCGCATGGTCAGTGGTTGCCAGCTGCTAGATTGTTATTACGCGCTACAGCGGCGTATAATGACTACTTTAAGGCTGCGACATTTAAGAACACACTATTTCAAACGTTAAACGTAAACATTTTGACAGCAATCTGTCTGGCTGGGTGGAAAAGTTTAGAAAATTGAAATTGCTCCAGCCACAGTTCAAATAGAGTCCGACGTTTCGAGACCGACTCGGTCCCTTCCTCAGGGGGTGACTGTCTTGGTCATGGAAGTGCCGTCGCGTCGTGTTCTCTCACCACGGCTCCGGCTTTCCCTTTCCACCACGTTTCGGAGACCGTGAACGTACACCGAAGGCAATGTTCCCAGCGAGCGGTTCACGTTGGCAGGCGTATGCTGAATGTGCCAAGACTCGAGCAAGAGCCTCTTTCCCAAATTCCGTTCTGTTTCAATAACAGAAGCGCCCTCTAAGTCAATTTTATGGTCGTGCTTCTCGCAGTGCTCCGCCAGAGCGCTACGTTGCACTTCCATCTTCCTGACGTCGTTCTTGTGTTGGCGCATTCTTTCCGGGAAACACTTGCTCTCGCCTATGTAGCAGGCTGGACACCCAGAACACGACACTTTGTAGACAACGCCCGGGTGTAGCTCCTTCGGAGGTCGGTCTTTCGGCCGCGGTAGCAAGCGAGCGAGCGTCGAAACAGGTTTATGGATTACCGTGACCCCGGCTTTTCCCAGGATTCTCGAGAGCTGTTCACTTATGCCCGGCACATATGGAACGGCGACGCGGTTGTTTGGCGCCTTCGTTTTTCTCGTGTGCGGTGGTGTGGCCAGGGCGGAAAGGGGGTCGGGCGGTGTGTCGCTTGCAGGTGTCTTTCCGCGGTGCGGTGGTTGTCGTCTCGACAAACGGCGTGACGCCCGGCGGATGAACGCTTCTGTGTAGCCATTCCTTCGTAGCTCGGCGACAATCCTCTTTTCTTCTTTCTTCCTCTCACCCTCCGACGTGCAGATTACTCGTGCACGTGAAAGGAGTGCCGAAACCACTGAAGCTTTGTGGGCAGTTGGATGACAGGAAGCAAAATGCAAATACCTGCCGGTGTGAGTTGGCTTTCTATACACCGAAAAAGTCATGCGCTCGCCCTGTCGTCTGACTAAAACATCGAGAAACGGGAGCGCCCCGTCTCGCTCTCGTTCCACCGTGAACTGTATCGCTTGGTCGATGGAGTTTAGATGTTCGAGGAAGCTGTCTACTGCTGCCTTCTTTATTATGCAAAAACAGTCATCCACGTACCTCACAAATACTTTCGGCCTGTCAATAAAGGAGCCCAGTGCCGTCTCTTCTATATGTTCCATTGCGAGGTTCGCAGCCGTAACGGAGATCGCCGCTCCCATCGCGGTCCCGCTGGCTTGTCTGTAGAAGCTCCCGTTGACGCTGAAATACGTCCCCTTGAGGCAGTATTCCAGTAGGCGACACAGTTCGTCGACGCCTAGGCAGGTTCTTTCATCCAAGAGCTCGTCTTGGTTCAACGCTGCTCGTGCGCTAGATACCGCTAGTGCTACGGGCACACTGGTGAACAGGGATACGACGTCGAACGAGACGAAGCACTCATCGCTGCTCACGGTCACATCTCTCATGCGCTCCAAGAAGTGGCTGGCGTCGCGTATGTGGGTCGGTGTTTGCCCCACGAGCGGCGCGAAAGTCCGGTGGAGATACTTGGACAGCGCCCGGAGTGGAGATGTTGTAAAATCCACGATAGGACGGAGCGGAACTGTGGGCTTGTGGATCTTGGGAAGCCCGTAAAATCCTGGTGCAGAGCCGTTCCGGCAGATGAGCTGGAGGTATGTGTTTCTCGCCTTCGGGTGCGCTTTAAAGATATCCGCCAGGAGCTTGTTCATTTCCCTTTGGACACTTGGTGTGGGGTCCTTCGTCAGCTTTTCGTAGGCCGGACTGTCCAGCAGGTCTCGCACCCTGTCGTTGTATGCCTCCCTGTCGAGCAGGACCATTGCGTTCCCTTTGTCGGCCGGGAGGATGACAACCTTATCATCATTTCGGAGCGCATGGATCGCCTTACACTCCTCTCTCGACAGGTTGTGCTCACGGCGCTTTCCTATTTTTGATAGTACGCCGATAGCCTTGAGGCGCACGTTCTCCCGAATGCCGCTGTCGAGTCGCCTTATGCCTTCCTCCGTAGCCGCGATGATCTTCGGCAGTGACGGACGTGTCGTGGTCGTGTTGAAGTTGTGTCCCTTTGCCAGCACGTTGTGCTCTGTCGGGGAGAGTTGTTTGGAGGACAGATTGACGACGAAATTCTCGTTGTCAGGACTGTAGTGGTGTTTTTCTCCTTGAAGCGTCGCAAGCTTGCTATTGTGGGTCGCTTGTTGTTTCAAACGTACATTCCCCAATACTAGGTTCAATACCCAAGCCAATTAAGTACTCGTGTCTCGTCAGGCGGAATGCGCGATTTGAAAATTTTCTACCAAAATAAAAAGAAACAAACAAGGCAAAAATTTACAATAACTTTATGACTGTATGAAACGAATGTGTGAAGAAAGTTTTCCCATATGAAATGCATCTACTTGGTGCGCAAAGGTTTAAAGGAATTATATCTAAGTACTCAGTGCAATGTTTTTGTCATCCCCAAAAGATCCTTGACAGGGACCCTTTCCGGACCAATTGCTGTGCCCAGAAAGCACTCGAAAAGACGTTTCCGTGTCAAACCAGCTTGTGTCGTCCTCAGTAAGTACTAAGGTCAATTAGAACTGTGTGAGGACGATTGCATCATATGAGAACGACCTCAGGACATCGAGTGTTGTCTGGGTAAGTAGCAGTCGGCGCAACATTTACTTGGATTCCCGCAGCGAGGCGCAAGCAGCTTGTATTTCATCACCACAAATGGCACAATTAAACGACCATTGATCGCTTGCAATCACAAGGTCTCAGCTCTTGTGCTTCATGGCAATCCAAGACAAAGTTTAAGCCCCAGTCATTAGCCTTCTTTAGCGTGCGGATTTCATTTTGCAGGTATTAGTCGGCACAGGCAAGCACTATCGCGAGAAGGCTGAGGCACCTAAGTAAAATCAAAGATGCAAGTCTACAAAATGTTTTTTTTTCTCTTTTTGCTATGATGGGAGTACGTATTCCTGAAGCAATACTTTTTTTGCGGACAAGTTAGTTCATACAAATCAATTTTTCAAGTATTTTTGAAAGACAAGAAAAAAGACGCCTTCTATGGCAGACGCTTAACACTTACCACGTTATGATAAAAAAGAAAATGTACGCACTAGCTAGGCTTCATTACGTTAGAGATAGACGAAATGTTATGTTTAATTATTTCTAGCACTGCATAACAAAGACAACAATAAAAGCAAAGTTGGTCAGATGTTGCGCCAGCGACAACTGAGCTGGGCATCACTGATGAAATTACTGCACAAGAAACCATAAGGAGGCGTCATTTATTTGCAATCTAGAAGCTTCGATTTGTGCTCCGGAAATGGGCCGCTGCTGTTTGTGTACTACATGCGCAGGTTTGCACCGCCTCTGCGACATAGTCTCCTCCTATCGTTGCCACCTGTTTTCTTTGCTGGCACATGCCTGCATGAATTTTTTTTGATGAATTTGTGCCAGTGAAATATGCAATGTATCAAGTGAGAGAGAGAGAATTTTGTAAGCGAAACTTCACTAACCCTGTACGATTCGGAAAGACAGAATGTGTGTGTGGAGGTAGACGACGAGTTGAGCACGTTGTGCATATGTTGGCCGAAAGTAAATTTATATAGCCTGTATTTCTCACGGCATGAACAGTAGCAAGTGAGCACCCATCCTGTCTGCGTATTTTTTTTGGTTAAAGAGTCAGCAAATGCGTTGCGCATGAAGAAATCCCGCTTCTGAAGAAGAACGCACACAGACTTATGCTTGGAATCCTGTACTTTTATTTTTTGAGAGCACAACAGTTCACAACAAACATTCTCCAGAACTTTTCGCGCTCTACTTATAACAATAGCTGTAAATATTCATAGATACATGTTTATGCATTCGAAAGCAACATTGTTAAAGGCGCAAAGCTCTTCGTTCCAGAACGTGACACATCAAAATAAGTGGCCGTTCAAATAAGTTCTGGAGCACTGAATGCACTTCGCATCTTGCCGATGCTAATTATGTACAGAGCATTGTACTTGTGAGTCTACCCTAGACTAGCAATTCACTTTCTTCTTTTTTTAAAAATATAACACGCTTAGCCTACCACCACGTTCGTGCTAAATCTACGAAGGACAAAGACATGAATCTACAGCGAAGTAGCATGCCACACGAAAAAAAAAGTTTTTGGGCGCAAGTGAGAGAGATAGTGCACTTTGTTTTGCCGCGTGGCGGCGGATAGCAAGTTTACAAGGCAGCGGCTTCATCGCCGAGTGAGCTGTCCACGTTGGCGCCCTTGTGAATAAATAGGAGGCACCTTTCACGTGCGAATCACGTTGACAAGAGCGTGTAACAGGGCTCTCAATTTATGTACACAACTAGAGTTGATTTCCTGTCTCTAACTACAATGATTACATCTGCACCACAACGTATTTGGTTCGCTCCCTCACGACACAATCAAGTTTTATGCGTCTTGGTATTCGCTAGGCGTAACATTTTCCAGACTCCATAATGAAGCATATGCAAAGACAAAAACAAGCTCTTTTTATGTGGAATGTTCCGGCTTAGTAAAAATGTTCCTTAGTATTTGAATACTTCCATATTCAAAACAAGGTTAAGAATGACCAAACAAAAGTGCTAGAAAAACTGCTGCGCAAACAAAGACCGGTTACAGATCCGGCGTGAAGCTGCCCGAGTGCAAGCTCCATCACAATGGCCGCGCTATTTCCTGCAGAGGGGGGGGGGGGGTGCCTTGCCACAGAGTTTCGTAAGTGCCTTCATTAAGTGACATCATCGCTTTAAGCCTCTGAAATCATTGCTCAGCACGCAGTGATCACAGCAAATGCTGAACTTCTCGAAAACACAGTCAAGAGCCGGTGACGTAGAATATACAAATGAGACACCGTATACGTATTTTCATGCATGTGAGCACAGTGAAAAAAATGATCAAAAACACATGAGTGTGTTCTCCTGCTTACAACAGTGTTGTAAAAAAAATACCCTTTTTTCTAGCACGTGTTCCACCTTACTACTAAAATATTGATCTGGCGTTTGTGCAGGGCTGGTCAAAAGTTCTCTGGCCACTAACCCATATATTCCTATGGCAGCATGGCCTGGGAACTTTTGAGCCCCCCTGTAGGTAAAACACAGGAACAGACGACAACAATATAGCTTCCCGGATTAGTTGCACAAATTGTTAAAAAGAAGAAAATTGCTTTTCATAGTTATGCACAATGCAAGCAACGATGCAGGGGTGATCTGCTTAGTGAGTGCTGTGCATATAAGGGCTGATTCTGCTTGTTTTCCACCAACATCTCTCACGTTTAACTAGTTACAAGAAGAAATGCGGTGTCGTGTCATGGTCTCAAAGCAGACAGTGACAATGATAAATATAATTTGGCCTGATTCTCGCCAGTGATTGAAACAGAGAAATACAAATTTCCTAATCACAACATCCAGGCAAAAGTGCTATTGTGTATTGAACCACGCACAGAGTAGCATGCCAGCGGTATACAAGCCGACAAAAATGTGAAGTTTTTCCAACAAAGAGTCTTTGTCTGATGCATTGAAGCTCGATGATAAGCTCCTCAAATGATAACCTTAAGGGAGCTCTGATATTAAGTGCACGATATGTCGCCACCTGGTGCCACCTTCCCCTCAAAGCACATCAGGAATCTGAACTTACGCACCCTGTTTGCCTTTTTGATGGTCGAACAGTGTATTTGCTGCTATAATTTACAGGTATGAAGTTTCTCGATGGTACTGTGTACTAGTTCAGAGGACCATTCAGGCGAAGCCGCAAAGTCTGTACTCGCTCTCTTGTGTAACAAAGGTATGCTGCTGATGCTATGTTGTACTGTGTTTCAAAGCAGAACGGTGACCATTGGCCGTCGCATGGAAATCTTTTGACAATAAAACAAATCACACAAGTTCATCACTGTGACTAGGGGGAATTCATCACTGGCGTAGCCAAACATGGCGGGGGGAGTTTGTTTCCCCCGCCATGTTTCCATAGGTCCCATAGCACAATTCAAGCTAAGGGACCTCTTTCTGTATAGCTCACTCCACACATCATCACGTTCAATAAAGTCAGACCAAAATACCAAGATCGAGAAAGCAGTCACTATGTTCTAACTGATTGTATATATATATGTATTTTTAATGACAAGCTTCTCTAACACATTCATTATATTCATACATGCTGATTTGAAGTGAATTACGCTCACTCATCAAGCCCGACGGTAGTTAGCATTTCGGAACAACACACGGTTTGCCTGTAAATTTTTCTAACCTGCAAGAAATATATAAAATACAGAAAAAATTCATTCAGTTTACTTCAACGTGTCTTTTGGAACATCAACTTCTGACTCGTTTGTTGATGCTCACATTATGACCATTTGTGAGCGGTATCATTAGAGACTAAATATCCACTTTGCATTTGGAATGAAAGACAACTTAGGTTGCTTAAGAGAGATTGCCTTCCTGGAAAAGAAAAACAAACTATAGGACACAAAAAGCGGAGACACGCGGTACAGGCCGCGCTTTTAAACTCTTCAATGCAATGCTTGCGCCACACATTGGCTTCCTTTCTCAATCATTACACATTACTGAGGGAAACAGTGTGAAAATTGGGACTGAGAAAAAATGAACACACAACACCAGTGCTGAAACACAACTGTGTGCTCATTTTTTCTCGGTCTCATTTTTTGCGATGTTCCCATCAGTATCATGTACCAACTGGCCATATAAGATACCCTTCTGCAATTACACATTAACAAATTTTTATCTGTTTTTTTTGTCCCTCAGGCAAGTTTCACTTGAAATTGGTAAGCACTATTGGTTACTACTATGTATACACTGTTCCTTTTCATTTGATTATTTTTCTGGGCTTGTTGCCTTTCTCTTGCTGAAGCCTTTGTTAACAATTGGCCTACTGTGTTTACAAGCATGCAAGTTTTCTCTTCGATCTCTTTTTTTTAATTATATGTAAATGGAGCTGTCGCTGTGTAGCCGTGAGCCCTCGTAAATGGGGACTGCAGGCTCGTGAAGCTGTCGGAAGACAGCTTTTATTCGCTGCCTGTTTGCAAAATGGGCACAAATGAAGTTGATGATTGATTGAATAATTTATTAACTGATGGATTGATTCGCTCATTCATTGACTGATTGATTGAGCTCAAGTCACAACAGATGAAAACTGAGCCCTGCTCTGAGACGTAGAGCCATGACTTTCATTTTGATGAGTGAGTGTGATTAAATTCAATCAGCCCGTATATCGACCATATTTTCAATGTCCGTCACCTTGAAGAAATAAACTGAGCTGTAAATTAGCTGCAATATTCTAGGCTGTGTACTTGTGCCTGTGTTTTCTCACAGTCAGTAGAAGTATAGTGTGTCTACACTAATCAGCTTTCTCAAACACTCTGCTGAAATGTGAAACGCAGCCCTTCATGCTTAACAAATCGCAATACCCTAAGGAGGCACCACAGCACAGCAATAGTATAAAAAAAACACAGGGTGAATATAAATGAGTGCAGCAGCGCGAGAAGAGCACAATCTGTCCCGCCGAACAGCAGTGTGTTGAAGGGCAGCTGAAACAGCTGCATCCATAAAAGCAGAGAAACCACTTAACGGAGCTGTACAAATCCACTAGGGTGTACTTTGAAACCGCTATTTTCAATGTGTCCCCTTCAGCTTGCTTTATATATAAATAACACCTTCTGCAGCCATTTTTCAACACTGTAAATTAGATTTCTGTTACACTTGTTGGAGCGCATATGTCTTTGGTGTTTCTTCTTCGAAATACCAGATTAAATTCTATGCTACCGACTGTCATTCTTCTTTTTTTTGTCAGGTGTTGAAAAAACTGGGCTTCTATTCTAGAACTAGCTCAGAATTTTTAGTAAGCTGTAGGCCCACACTTTTGGAGGCTTCGAAAATTTTCATTTTCAAAGCGCTTGTGCTAGTAACATGGAGATTGTGTAAAATGTTGTTAAATGAAAGCACTTTTATCATTCGTATTACCGGATAAAGAATCTGTATGCATCGCGTCGATTACTCATTGTGCTGCCAGCGGAAGTAGTAAACTATTAAAAATAAGCCTAATTGGTTGCAAACTCGGTGAGCCCAACACAGTGTGAGTGATTGACAAGCAAGGAAAACGGGAGCTTTTCGCTACGCAGTTTGGAAACTATTCGTCCTTCTTCACAAACTCGGCAGCTTCACATTTTATTTGGTGTGTCTTACGCACTGTTCCGTATGATGCAACAGATACTCAAAGCACCTCATATATATTTCCTTGACAATGTTAAAAACTCTGAGAACACTACAGAGTGTCATGAGGAAACAAACGATCCGAATTCAGTTTAGCAATCCCAACTTCTATGATACGTTATTTATCCAACCCTAAATAAGGGACACATGCTTTTCCAAAACTCCAATATTTGTGTGGCCTTAAGGGCAGTGAGACCAACCGGCTTAGATGATTAATGCTGAGATATGTTCTTCGCAACATTATACTCCACTCCAACTCAAATGTATGGAGGTTGCCGCATTTTGAGTATACATATCGATTCTTCCATGTGTGGCCTACACTTGAAGTGACGCATTGAGAATGAAAATATGGATGTTGGACACTGGATGGGGGACACTTCATTTAGTGCTCTGTAGTCAAGCGTTCGCACTAATCTCTTCCATACTTGTAACAATATTACACTTCCGTGGAGATGTGCTTCTGAAATAAGATAATATGCCTGCTTAGCATCAATGTTTTGGTAGGCCGGACATTTACTTTCATTAGGCCACAAAAATTACCACCATGTAATTCTACTTTCAATGTCTTGTGTCGATTAACTATAGCGTTGCTTGCTGTTTTAAAATATATGTTAAAAGCAATAACGTGCTTAAAACATTCAATGTTCCGCTTATCCTTCAATTTACTTAATTGAGGTGAAAAAAATAAAGCCTATTGCACTTTTAGCGGATAGATGAAATATCTGTAAGAAAAGAAGAGAAGGTAGCATTAGAGGCATTGCTTTGGTTCATGGTCACTCTTCCCATTAAGCTAAATCTAAAGCAACTAACACGAGCCCAACTGGTACGGCTAAATTTTTACAGTGCTTCGTTTGTTACAATGTGGCTCATGCTTCCCTCTTTGAAATATATTTCAAGTGCAAGGAGACTTGTGTATTGTTCGGAAGATGCCCAAACCTCCATAACAAGGCAAGTTTTTGCGAGACACAGACAGCAGCCTTTTGAAGCTAACGATCCGTTGCTAGCTGTGACCAGCTTTTTTTTTTTTCGCTAAGCGGTGTCGTCCTTAATTTCTATTCAGTACTTCCGACAATGTGAAAGATAATTTTTCTGTGTAATGTCACTTTTTTGTAGAAATACATTTGGACAGACTGCGGCTACTGTGATACACATACATATAATGAGTAGTTGCAGAGGGTAACCGCTGCCATACAATGTGATTTCTGGCTGGCATTACTCTTTTTTAAACAAAAATGGAATGCAGACTGTTTAAGGAACATTCAGTTCAGTATTCTGAACTTGTAAGGATAACTGGATGTATGACGAGATTCAAATGAGCACTACTTAAGCTATCTTCCTTGCCCCACCCACTTATTTTATTCTATAATAATTATGTGCTGTAATTGTGTTCATTTCTCAACAGTATCACAGTAAACAATTTTCAATGCTATGGTTTCTTTGTGCCAAGGAGGTAGTCAAAATCCAATTGGTTTACGTGCATGCATCTAACTTATTGGCGTAAACAATTTCTAGCAAAAAGAAAAACAAACCTCATGATATCACTTTGTAAAGTTCTGGCACCGGCAAAACAGTTGAGCCTCAATGTCATGCCAATGGCATTAATTAGAGATGTTACAGGAAGCACTGAGTATTTGGCCACCTTTAGCCTACACACATTTGGTGCTCAAAGCCAGTCAGCGATAAAAGATGGAAGCTAACTTGCAACGGAAGGACGTTCGAACGAGCTCCAATCAGCCATTCAGGATAACACCCACAGTGCAAGTAACACCTCTTGGCACGAAGCACGTTGGCTTTTCACAGGAGCTTTGAGAATCACCGATATCTCACCGGCTGCAATACGAGCTAGCAGCAAGAGGTTCTAAGCACGCGCGAACACTTCATGACTATGCACAGCAAGCGGCTAAGGGGGACCGGCTGTGGCAACGGTTTGTGTTCTCCTGCAATAGTGACTAGGAAGTGTTTCAAGTCATCATACAAGAAAACTTTTGAACTTAATCATTGGTCCTGAGTCCAATGCACAGTTTTCAGCGCTTATTTGGTACAGCCAGCTCCAGGGACTCCACAGGACATAGTTAGGCACATCTTTCTATGCTGTGCTTTGCGTTCATGGAACGTTTCAGACATGAGATTACATCTTTTCGCAACTGACTGTTATAGAAGTGAGTAATGCACCTGTAATTTTCATCAGTCTTGGTAACGCTGTCTGGCCTTTCTCAGGCCTTTCACAATTCAAGCGGAATATGACACCCCTCCGAAAATATGCGGAATATGACCTATAATAAGGACACCCCTCCGAAAATATGAGCCAGCCTTCCTGGGCTACAAAGACAAAAGGGCGTTTCTGCATTTCTATGGTTGACTTGCTGAATCCCCCACGTAGCTTCTGAATTCAATCAGAATGCAACGCTTGCTATATATGCTCGTCTCCTTAGGTGACCGTTGAACGAATAGCGTCCCAATTTGTTTGCCTCTCTCGCACCTCATTTTCTACCTGCTGGCTGCATGCGAGTATTTACTGCTGAATCATTGTAGAAAAACTTTCTGGCTCATTCATAAGACTGCACTGTCGGAGTCGTGCTGACTTCCAATAGGCTGTATTGCGCACAAAAACGAATACGTTGAATTCCTGGTAGTGTCAAATGGTTAAGCCTTATCGAGCGTGATTACTTGCAGCAAAGGTTCATCCGTACTGGGTGCATATGCAGGAGTAATTTCAAGCTGAATTTTTCTTTTATGGTAAAGGGTAAACTCAACGTTCTTTTCAAGTTTCTCATAGTCACATAAAAGATGTACCTAATGAAACTTGAATAAGTTACCAAGAATATCAAAGAAAACCATACAAGGTTGCTAATGTACCTTATTCAGCCCGTTTCACTTATAAACGTGGTCTTTTGGGTGATTAATACTTTGATGCTAAGTGTATAGCTGCATTACGTGATGAAGTAGCAAATACATTGGTGAACATATACCACTGTTACTCTCGCACACCTAAAACGCGGAAGGTTCAGCAATTTAAGAAAGACCATCCTTCTCAAATGTTAAGCAAGGCTGAGGCTACTAAACACATATAATGAGCTAGGTTACGGGGTCTATCACTGTCGGAATTTAGAAACTTGTTTCTTCCTCTTCTTTAGCATTCATACATGTTATAAATGCTTATGATGGTATCTAGATACCTATAATTTATGATGGTATTTATGTAACTATTAGCTTTGAAGTTTCTATCCTTGTTCTTATACCTTTATTGCTACTAGTTTGAGAGTTTTTGAAAAATATCATTTTTCTCCTCTGATATTTTGCTAGAGCCACTGCTTGGCCATATTTTTACAGTGTTTTGTGTACAACATCGAGTAGTCGTTCTTGCCAAGGGGGTAAGAATGCCTCAAGGAGCGCTATAGCGAGAACTTTTCTCCTTAACTACCCCTTCAATCTTTTAGTGCTCCTTGTTGTAATTGTGCGCATGCATAAGATGGAATGAATATATCAAATAACTGGTGTCTATATATCTGCTGTGTCTGTATATTCACTGCCTTGATAAATACGCCGCAAAATATCGATGGATTCTTTCTTTTTTAATATTGTGTCCGCGAACACTGTAGCTTAGTTTACTGTACAACAAAAGTAGACTCATAACGGTAGATACTCTGGGATGGTATAGGTTGTACTCATAGAAGAACTTAAAAACAGTATAGAAGATTCTTTAAGCTATTAGCTCTGTAACGAGACGATCGAGCATGCAAGTTTTTCTCTATTTTTTATAGAACATGTGATGCTCTGAAACATTTTCTAACATGTAGAGAAAAGTGCTCGTTGCATTCTGCAGAACAATTCTTGTGGATCCGGTCGGTATAGTATGTCTTTGAAATATAGAGTGCAAATGAAGACAAGTTCTTACAGACATGTACACACACACAGCTTCTCACACACATGCGCACAAAGAAGGTGCCCAATATTTCTCCATTTTTCTTCTACATATCCTTATTCGCACACCTCATTTTAATATGTGATTTCACAAGGTGCCATATTTTCGTAGTAGCGCTCCGCTTTCAAATTATGCACATATGAGACTCACTAACACCATGTTAAAATAAACATACCAACAAAAACCCATAAAGCAAAGTTGAACACTTGTAAATGTTAGCTCGATTCCAAATATTGAGTACATTAAAAATCACCTAGAATAGACATTTCTGGTTATCATGAACTCCTACGCTACACACTGGAATGTCGATAGAACAGACAAGAAAGCAATGGCTAGCCAACCAGCCTGAATGATGCCAAGGCCAAATTCCAAATACATGTGACGTGGTCGTCAAACCACAGTTGCAAAACAATGCGGTTCAAGTTCTTTCCGCTGTTTCCTGGTGTACTAATTACACTGTAAAGTTCTGGAAGTTATTACTCGTGCTTCGCTTTCTTAAGCTTGCTGCATTCTTTGTCGGCTTTGATGAGCCCTCCAATCACGTTTATTTGCCCTAATAAGGGTACGGGAAGAACATGTCTGAATGTGTGCGGCAATCAAATACATTGAACAAATCCTTACAGTATGATCAATAAAAAATTTTACAAAATTTGAGCAATAAAACCACAGTATAAGTTTTAAGCACAATAAATTGTGGTGGACAGGAAATTATGACTAACATAAAATTTCTGACGGGGATACAATGGCTGTCTTGAACTTGGGTGTTCTCCGAAGACTATGCAGAACTCTTACCACTGCATTGCCCAGGTTACATTGTGCTTACCATAGCGACAGCCGTGGTAATACTTTGCTTTGTTTCTCCCATCAAACCTGTAAGGCGAGTGTATGGGTACTATGTCCCACTGTGAAGCAAACGAGCCACAACACTCATGTAACGAGCACAATTCTTGCCTGTCCAGGTCCAACTTGCATCACAGCAACGGCAACAATCACCAACAGCTCGCGCACCATAACAACAGTAGTCAACTGATGCACAGCATGTCCCATGCGTCATGGAGCACACTAGCCATCCAACATAGGAGAAGGCCTTCAAAGAATTCGTTTTCGGTACCCAACATATCGCCAGCAATCAGCCTCAAATAACAGTGCCAGAACTGTGTTTTGCTCACTTTTTCAGCGCCGGCTCACGACGGTCATTTTTCAATTTGGAAAGACCCCTAAATACCTAAGGGACAACAAACACTTTCACAATACTTAGTTGGCAGCATTTTCAATTCCGGTCTCATATTTCCCGCAGCTTCTTTCCAGTTTAAATAGTAGTCCTGTTATCTTTTTTATGGATTGCCAAAGTAGGGGCCGTTCGAAAGCATAGAGGAAAGAATGCTCTACCTTTCATTTTTTATTCAATCTCAGGCGTACGTAGCACTGATACGAAATGATGTGCAGTCATTTTCAGTGATATTAACCCAGCTCACTTTCTCTGCCATTTTCACGGACCTTGGTGTTCTCACCTCATCACAGTGCTATGGTAACTACCATACCACTATCATGTGAGTGGCTATTTCTGTACATAGCCTTCTTTTCACCGGAGAAGCGTAATCTAGTGAATATTTTGAAAGAACATCATCGGTTACCGCGCTATACGTTGCTGCTGCGTGACAGCACCCTTCCCGTGCGTGTGGTTTGAACTGAAAGTGCCTTATCCTGCGTGGGCAGCGCTACCATATCACACGGGACTTGACTTGTGGTGGCACTCGTTGAAGGACGCGTCGTTGTTGTTCCCATTCGACGGCTTCCCGCGCTTTTCGAGCAGCAGGGCAGAATCGCCGCCGCCCTTGTGGCTGCCTAAGGAGCCGCACTCGACGGGTCCCTCGGCGTTGCTCCCGGAAGGGTCGCTGCTCAGGATGCGTATTTTCTGAATCATCTCGCGGATCTCGTACCGCAAGATGCCCAGGAAGCACAGCTTCAAGAATGCCATAACGCAAAAGCCGAGAACGCAGAGCAAGTCGGCACTTCGCTGCAGCCACCTTAGGAGGGCCTCGTGGCACGGCGTGCGGTATGCACCCGTGGCACGGTCCAGGCACGTTGCCTGTGGCCGTGCAGCTGGGCAGCATGAGGCCGGCACCTGGTGCCGCATCCACGGGTGCGCCATGCGCTGCTCGCGAAGCCAAGCGGTGGCGTTGTAGTCCTCTGGTCCGTCCACACCGCAGCAGCGCTGCTCGGCCTGTAGCCGATCCCACAGCAGTCTGTAACCCGGACGAAGGCCGTACCCGTCCTGCGACGCCAAAATGATCCTTTCAGTACATCACGTGGTAATTTGAGCTTTCGTTCATGCTTTCCTCATAATTTATTGCTTAAGCTTGTTGCCTACATACATTCGCATTTCAGTTATTTTGCTTCATTCAGTTTATGCTTGCAGAAAAATCATTGCTGAAGAAGCACCCTGAAGTAAGATTAGGGAAATGAAGTAAGTCTGTATAATTAATTAGCATTCAGTTTAAAGGCTTATTATTTTCCTTATTAAATACGGACGACGTCGAGTGAAAGAAAGGACGCGCAGATACTCACAACTCAATGTTTAAAGGGACAATAAAGGCAACTATCAAGTCGGCGTTTATCATTGAAATAGTGGTCCAGAAACCTCGTAGTGTTCTGTTACTCTTTCACCAAGGAACGGTCTATTTTGAAGCCCCACCACAATGGTCTAGTGGATAAGGTACTCGGCTGCTGACCGGCAGGTCGCGGGATCGAATCCTGGCTGCGGCGGCTGCATTTCCGATGGAGGCTGAAATGTCGTAGGCCCGTGTGCTCAGATTTGGGTGCACGTTCAAGAACCCCAGGTAGTCGAAATTTCCAGAGCCACCCAATACGGCATCTCTCATAAATTTACGGTAGTTTTGGGACGTTAAACCCCACGAATCAATAGGGCATATTTTGAAATAAAATCACGTTTTAGTGGTCCGCATCGCATTAGCGCACATCAAATTACGTCATCAAGAAGCGAACCAACGGGACCGACTCAGGCCACTGTTGCCGTGCACAACGTTGCCCGGTTTTACTGCGCTAGTAGCAGCAGACCGAAAGCAACGAGAGCCACAGCAGAAAAAATGGCTATTGATCAATGTAGCACCATTGACTCCGAGATTGCAGACGTTTTTTATGGTTCAACTGCACCATGCTAAATGGCACCACCTGTCCAGTGTAAATACGCAAAAATTGAATTTTTGAACTGCCTTTCCCATAATACTGTGCGGCATTTATTTCTTTCATAAATTAAACAGAAACGAATAAGAAGCATTTTATTGCGTCTCTTGATGCACTGAAGGTTCTTTATTTAGTTCAACTAGATCAAATACTAGTGAATAATTGTAGGCGGTCCGTCTGATGTCATCGGGGTCATTTTGAGAAGGTCCTACTGCGGCGCATGTGTTCATGTGCATTTATTTCAATTTCTTGGTAAGTAGGGCACTGTTGCTGATAATATTGTCGTTTTAGATGTTGTGTCACATTGAGCTTTCACTGTGACGTAAATTGTTATTTGACTTTAGTGTCCGTTTAATGGTTGAAAGATTGCATATATACCCTCAACATGCGATGAATCGAGCTCATCTGACAATGAGTTGCCCTACGTATCCGAATCGCATCTAAAATTCCAGCTCACTATAAACAAGACAACTTTCAGTATGTGTTGCTGGGTTCTGTTGCTCACGATACCATCTTGATCCATATTTAATAGCACAGTTAATAAGCTCTTATAGAAATTAACCTTACAAAGGCTTTTTTTCGCATGCAGAAGGGCTAGTAAGAAAAAAAAAACGCCAGGCCTCTGCGGGAGGCGCAGCACAGTCACAGGGAAAGCAAGAAGAGCGGCCTTTCAGAGCCTTTACAAAACACCCATTGGGTAACTACTGCAAGCACACTTGCTTGATACTGATAGGTCATTATTAGTAAATTTATTTTGGTAGTACACCGTTATTCGCTATGCTATTTTTCATCATTCTTGGAAGCGTGGTATCCGCTAAACACTTGCAAGAAATTTTAAGCCAATTAGTCATGCAGTGGCTGACAATGGTGAGGAATTATTTCTGAAGTGGGTATGCACCACAGTTTATAGGTGAACAGAAACATCTTATGGGATGGGCTTGAGCATAGGAAAGCGCACTCGTTACGCTATTCGCATTGTGCGATGACTGATTGTTATTTCGCTGTAAAAGCGCTTTACAGGACGTAGTAACGCGAATACTTTCCCAACATCAAGCCTGCTAAGGCAAGTTTGACAACAAGGCACAAGCACTGGTGTAGCTCAGTGGTAGAATACTGGGCTGGTACCCAGCGAACCCGAGTTAGAGCCCCACTGTGTCATTGGTGCTAGGTCAAGCCTGCCTAAGGCATGTTTTACAAGTTACAAACACTGGCGTAACTAAGTAATAAAATACTGGGTTGGCACCCTGTGGCCCCGGGTTCAAGCCCGACTGTGTCACTGGTGCAAGGTTTTTCTAACTTCGCGCGATGTGCTTACGGACACCGACGGCAGCGGACAACTGCGCGTGACCCGAGTTGTGCTGTCATAACAGCTTTCGCTGTAAATAATTATGAACAATTTCCCCGAAGGTAACGTTGAAGGCGTCTGAAGCAGCAGAGGTGCGCACAGCGTTGACCAGCTGAAATCGACCCGAGTACTGAAAGAATGATCGGTAGTGAAACTCAGTGTAACATTTACTCGAGTAAACGTTTGCTTGAAACGCAAACACACGGGAGGCGGGTTGGGTTTTGTGTAAGTTTCATCGCAGATAAATGAGCTCAAAGAGTATTTCCACTCGACGTGGAGCCGAACGTTGTGGGCGGTATAGAGGATGAAGCGAGGGAGAAGTGTTGCGTGCGAGTGGAGTAGCCAGAAGCTGCGGGCGCCGTGGTGAGCGTGTTGCGGGTGATGGAGAGAAAGACGTCAGCGCACATCTGCGTCGTGACCTACTTGGCACCGCTCCACTGCCTGCGGCAAGTGAAAGGCTTTGCAGCGTGTTTGTACCCACACACGTAGATGTGTCCGTACGTGTGCCCACATATGAGTCAAAGAGCTGCTTCATATCTAAAATACGCAACAAAACCAATGTATACCATTATTACGACAGGACGTTGTATGCACTTATCTGTACAAAAAATAATTCTGAAATGCTGCGGGCGATTTTTGCGCATACTCTTATCAGAAGAGACCATGAAATCTTTTCATTTTGCCGTGCTGTTGTTAAGGAGGAGTGCTGCAAAGTGGCACTAGGGTGGTATTTTACCACGAATGAGACTATGGAAATAGACAAAATCGTGGTGTAAATTGCTCGGTACATCGAATCTAAATTGTTTGCCTGTGTACAATGCGTCCTGATTCAGAGAGAAATGCATGCCGCACTTCACGTATTACTCCGTGAATATCTTTTTGCACAGACTCCATGCATCCTGCTGCCTCGGTGACAGGACGAAAAACAGTGACACTCGTCAAGGTCCAGGGAGGTTGTGTTGGTGCTTGCAACAGAGGGGGGGAATAGGCAGCGCTGCACAGCGACGGAATACGAGACCACCCGGCTAATCTCCTAGTTTTGGTCGTTCTTTCCCGGCGTCGCTGTGAATTCAGCAGCGCTGCGTGGGTTTCATCCAGCGCCAGGTGAGGAGTGCGAGTAGCGTATCTGCTAGTGCTGTCACAATTGAAAATTCTCGGCAGAAGAAAACCATATGCGAACAGCCATAGTTGCGGACAGCCTAGATAGCAGATTAAAGAGTGCGCGAATTTCGAACAGCCATATTAGCCCCAAATTGTCGACTTAACGCTCTCGAAATCTCGCAGGGCACTGTGCCGCGACCTATCAGGGATCAAATCAATGTACCAACCATATTTATGGACGAAACTCTATCTGAAGGCATCTACACTGCTACTAAAAGTGATAGGTCAGCAAACTCACTCATGAGTTTACTCACTCGAACTCACTCGGACTCAGAGCGAGCCGTCAGGATGAGTCCGAGTGAGTGTGGTTGAAGAAAATTTTAGTGAATCTGAGTCCGAATTATTTAAAGCGCAATATATAATTCTTAAGTGAGTGAGAGTGAGTTGCACTTATTTTTGTCGACCTATGCTGAGGACCTTCAAGATTACGTGCAAAAATTATTCAATGTATTCACCCAATATCCACAGCGAAATGCGGCTGAGTTCTCAGAAAGACTGCATGAACAAAGCCGGAGAGGTTAAGGCCTTAAAAAGGAAATGTGCACAGTTTCCGGGGCGCCGCCTAATGGCTCGGACGCGACCGACAACGAAAGCGCTAGACAACATGGATCAGTCAAGCAGTGGGTGACGATTAGACCACCTGGATGACTCGCAAGTTAATTGCCGAACTTTGCACAAATTAGAACGTCATAAACAAAGGCACTATTCTGCTGGATAAAATGTTTTCAGGAAGCAAGTTGCAAGCCAAAAAGAGTGCAAAGATAATACACGTACTTTTACAGACAAATGCTTCGTTGCGTGGCAACTCTGGTTTCTAAGGCCGCAAAATTTTCTCAGTACTTTCTAATAATAAAGCAAATGAGCGAAAAAAAGCGCCTGAGTGGTCCCTAACAGCTGTGAAAGTTTTGCGAAAATTTGGTTGGCATCGGTTGGCAAAATTTTGCCAACCGATGCCTTCTGTCTGAACAGTGAAAGTTTCAGTGAACGTCCGAGTTTTCTGGTTCCTCAGGGGTATCTACGTACCGGCAACTCTTGAGCGATTCCAGGAGCATGTTCAAACCGAACAAAACTAAGACCACCAGTGCGGAATAATGCGCGAACTATGAACATGAACTTAGAGACCAACACACCGACATCGCAGACATTTTTCGGCCCGTCTTACCAACCTTCTGCCAAGCCCTTCCATATGACTGTCGATGGTATGCGTTTAAACTATTCGATTGAGTGAAAGAACTTTATGTTGACCCACCGTGGTGGTCTAGTGGCTATGGCACTTGGCTGCTGACCCACAGGTCACTGGATAGAATCCCGCCTCCAGTGGCTGCATTGTCGGTGGAGGCGAAAATGCTGTAGGTCCATATGCTCAGATTTGGGTGCACGTTAAATAGCCCACGGGGGTTGAAATTTGTGAAACAACCTTACGTTGCCCCGCCGTGGTGGTCTAATGGGTAAGGTACTCGGTTGCTGACCCGCAGGTCGCTGGATCGAATCCTGGCTCCGACGGCTGCATTTTCGATGAAGGCGAAAATGCTGTATGTTCGTCTGCTCAGATTTAGGTGCATGTT